CGCCGCGCAACACTCAAACGTCGCGCCAGCGGCGCCGAGCGGGGGTGACTGCCCCCCGCCCACGCCCACCTCCCACCTCCCGCCACCCGCCGCCACCTCTTTCTACCTTCTCCAGAAACGCTTTCGCCATCCACTGTTTTCGCACAAGGAGACGACGGGGAAAGGAAATAAAATGGCACACAAACGAGGCCGTCGTTTGCGACGACAAGATCCGATTCCGAGCAGCGACATGTGAGAGAGGCTTGCAGACTTCCCAGGCTATGGGGAGACGGTGAAAACTGGAGTGCACAGAATGTTGCTGCTTGCATACTAAAGGGCTGCACTGTAAAATGCTTACGAACTAAATGCTTTGCAACGTTACGAACAATTTTCGTTATTTGTATTGCACAGAAATTGTTTGTGTTGAAGAGCGATTGTTTGTAAGGCTAGAAAGGTCCATATGAACAATTGGTTTGCATTACGAATTATTTGTTCCTAAGCTTTCAACAATTAGTTCGTAATACTCTGTATAAAATACCGTAGGCTGTTATGGTTTGCCTACGGTCCGTACCGTATTTTCATCGTACGGGTAGGCTGTAACAGTATGAACTGTACATTCTTGTTTGGGGTAAGAGCTGGATTCGACTTCCCCAACATTTTTTCACGTTACGGTCTGTTCTTTATGACACGCACCGTAACCCAAAATTATGGTGCCGGACCAGGCAACAAACTTACAGTGAAGGCCATTACGGTGTGTTTTTTAACAGTGCAATGCTTTAAAAACCTTTTTAAACCACGAAGGTCTTGGTTTCCATTACGAATCTATTGTTCGTGAGCAATTTACAGTGTGAATACAAAGAAGTTATTGTAAAGCATAGTTTAAGGTCCAAACCAAAACCAAAGGAAGAAATTAGTATAAAAACACTTCTTTTCTTGGCTTTTTTCGTGTCTGACAGATAAAATGAAACGCTGCATGGGACGTTGAACGTTTTATCACCACAAACATGTTTACGATATTGCGCGATAGGCCCGCGTCTGCCAAACAAAGTCGGTTCATTTTGCTATCATTTCAAAGCCACATGTACACACGAAAAAACTCTGCTCAAACGCGAAAGTTTGGGTATGCCTACGCCCGCTGTCCGAGACAGGTGTTGGCCTCGATACATCACAACGGAACAACGTCCGGTGTTGGGGTGGCGAAGACACAGGGAGCGAGCGTTAACCTCGCCGCAATGTGCCTTCTTCCTTTTTTCTTATTCCTTTTTTTTTCTTTCCCACCGAACACCCGGGCGCGCGGCACGATGCGCCCGACCCGATAGTGTATGGTGTGCAAACTGGCCTGGCCGCGCTAGCCGCCGCGCTTGCCGCGCTGGCCGCTGACAAGATATATTTTAGTTCGGGATCACGCAATGCAGACAGCCTGAGAATTGATGACGGCGGCCCCCCCGGCCCCCGGGCCCGGCCACCTCCAGGGAGGGAGCCGGAGGGAACGGTATGATGACGTAATCCGTGATATATCGACAGTACCGTCGCCTCTCCATCTTGCATCCGCGCGGCCAGCGCGCTGCGCACGCGCCAACCCGAGAGATATTCCCTTCGTTTTCACAGGTGGAAATTGAAGAAATGCATTAATTTGTTCGGGTGGGAATGTTCAGCGACGCTCTTAGTGACAACGAGTTATTTTGGGACATGCTGTGCTAAATCTATGAGCAGCGGACCAGTTTGGCTAGTTGTAGGTGAACAGTTGCCATAGCTGTAAGAGGCAAACTAATGCGTTCTACCATACGCTTATTCAATTCTGTAGTTATGCCTTGCCTACTCGCTCGGCCCGTGAGGCACCATGGACAAGGGGAAAGGCAAGGCCACCCGCACCGGTCATGGACTAAACTCGTTGCCCGTCGCCGCCCTTGGCCCTGGTATAGGCACCGGTGGTGGCCGAGGTGGTGGCGGCGCGCCCGCTGAGCCTGCGAACTCCCCCTCAATGAGGAGGCCCTGCCGGAGGAAGAGGAGGCGAGCACAGAGTCCCAGCTAGACCCCGGTGGCGGCGTGAAGGCCTTTATTTCCCCAAGTAGTTTTCGAAGAGCCGCGCCCGCGCGCGCCAAAGGAAGAAAGGGGAAGGAAGCCATTGGCCGGCCGGTGCGAGGCGGGGCACCGCGGGGCGTGGCGCGGCGACGGGCTCTCGTATTGTGCGAGTCCACCTGATAAATCATGCACGGAGGCATTCACAGACCCGGCCCGTCATTTGTCATGGTAACCTCCCGCCGCCTGATTAGATCGGCGGGGGGCGGGGTGTGGCGGAGAGCAGGGGGGAGCG